TGGAAAACTTAAGAAGATATGGTTTTGCAAACATGTTACCTCGTGGATGCATTGGATTTCACATTTAAAGTGATTTATCATGTTCCCGTGTTTTGCTCTAAGTGTGGTCAATCATGCAAATATTTGCTTTCTGAATAATTTGCCCTAATGACTTTGAGGCATTTTTGAGTAACAGTGGTGACATTGTTCTATCCTGGCAGAAAGCAAATCCCTTGTCAGATGTCCACTGTGATCCTCTGGTCTGTGGGCATATCATTAAGACATGGGTGCCACATAGAATTTGGTAACCATGGCTTCAGCTTGGAACCACTGCTACTGTGGATATAGTATATTACGGCACTCAAGATTTTGTGACATACCTGTGTGGCTCTTAATATTAGATTCCACTAAGTTACAGAACTAAAGTATGTTAATTTCTGAAGTAATACCCTCTTCTGCGGACTACTCGCACTTCTGGTTTTCACTGGAAAGTTCTGGATGTTTGGCAGTGTTTACAGACACCACAAATAGGAAGCATTTCATTCAGAATTCTGTTTTCCTAGTTATTGATAACTTCTGGGTTAACTTCTGTTCAACTTTGTTCAGTCAGAAAATAGGAGGGAGCTGGAGATGTTCATTGGCACAGCACCTGTCTGGCAAGTGTGAGGTCCTGAGTTCAATTCCTGACCCAACCCCCCGAAAAAAAAAAAAAAAAGAAAAAAGAAATGTAAGCATCCAAAGAAGATGAGGTTTATATTGATTTCTCTTTTGTCATTCTTGTTCAGCAAAGAGCTTCAATAGTGATGTTTGGTGGTCACCGCGTGATGTATTTCAGGGAACCCTAATGATAAGCTTGTAGAAAGCATAACAAGCAGATTGCTCCTCTACGAAAGAATGTAGGGCTGGTTTTTTTTTTGTTGTTGTTGTTTTGTTTTTTGTTTTTTGTACCAGGGATTGAACTCAGGACCCCGTGCTTTCCAGGTAAGCACTTATTCTACTGAGTTATACAGGAGAATGAATAGAAAAATTTTTGTGAGATGGAAAACTGAGATAAGGTGAAAGGCTAATTATTTATAAAAGGTATCGTCTAACAGTTCTCAGCATGTTACTCTTTTTGGTTCATAGTGAATCTCTCTCCTTCTCCCTCCCTCTTTCCTCCTTCCATCGCTTTCTCTTTCCCTCCTTCCATCCATCCCTCCCCTCCTCTCTCTTCCCCTCCTCTCTTCCCTCCTCTTTCCCCCCTTCCCTCCCCTCTCCTCCACTTCCCTTCCTTTCCCTTCCCTTCTCTTCCTTTTTTTCTCTCAGTCCCCCTCTTTCTTTAATTTCTTTTCCAGGAAAACTCATTTCAAACATTATTAATATTTTTTGAAACACTAAAACAGACATTTATTGCACATCAATAAATGAAATTAAAAATTTGTCATGCTTAGAGATATTTAATTTTTTTTAAGTCTTATTTTTGATATGTAAAAAAGGAGAAGTTGGGCTGGCAATACAGCTTAGTGGCACAAGTGCCTGCTTGGCAAATGTAAGGTCTTAAGTTTGATTCCTGGTACAAAAACAAACAAACAAACAAACAAACAAAAGCTACGTAGGTCATTGTAGCCCAGTGAAATACTGATATGAACTCTCTGCCTACTTAAGACTACATTTTATTCATTTATTTCAGAGACAGTTACTGTTCCTGTGCATAGGCAGGTCTATACTGAGAAGGCCTGTGAGGGAGACCAGGTATATCATGTAACAAAAGTTGATACTGGTCCCAGACTTAATTAAAAAGGTACTACTAGAAGCGGGCAAGGGGCTGAGGTAGGTGTGATGCTGACTTTCAGGGGAAATGAAATGTAAGCTGAGCTTGGATGGGGAGACACATGGACATGGACTGGTGGCAGAGGGTGATGCATGCTCTAATGAAGGGAGACAAAATCAAAGTCATGGTTCTGGAACAGGTAATGTATTAACAGACAGAGATGCCAGCAAACAATTCATGCTTTTAAGGCATAACAAAACCATTCATCTAGCACCTAAGGACATTTCTCCAGTGTGGTATGCTTAAATACCTGCTTTCCAAGTGTAAGCACAGAGTTTGAGATCTCTGCTCTAGACCAAAGTAGCAAGGATACAGAAAATCATTAACATCTGCTTCTCTTGCTTGAAGTTGCATAATTCCATCTTAAAGATTCTGTCAAATGCTGGATGTTTATGTTTTAAACACGGTAAACTGATTCTAAAAGGAGGCTTATGAAGGTAACTCAACAGCTGGAAAAATGTTGGTTTGTATTCTGAATAAAGTGATTAATGTATGTTCAAGAAAAAGCACCGATGATTGTAAGATGCTGTGGACCATGACCTTCTCGGGACTCCGAGAAGCCTACTGAAGAAAGCAGGAAGGATAAAGGCATGTTCTTTTGAAAAGATTTGTAAGTCTCATTAAACATTGTAGCATAATTAATTCATACAGTACGTGGTTGGTTTGAGTATGTGAAACTCTCAATGAGAAATCAACATGTGATGAATTGCCTGTCTCACCAGGATAAAATGACCCGTGCAACATGAACAGCTTTGTTTAGTACATTGCAGCCAGCAGATGCATCGCGCTGCTGGTGGGAAGCCTTGTCTTTACCCGTCCTTCCTCTGAAGGCTTTGCCATTTAAGGTGCTCAAACCCCACTCCTCTTTAATCTGCATGCAGAATGTGTAATGTGAATGGAGCACATGCGGCTCCGGGGTTGTTGCACAACTGGCAGTATCTTAAAACACAATGGTTTTAAAGCTGCCTTCAGTAATTTAAAACACATTTTTAAAATAAAAGAGTTTGTCAGCATTAGATTTATTCATTTGTTTTTAAAGCCTTTATCAAGTTAATTATCATAAACGGATTAACGCCCAACTAACAGACCAAAACATAAAATTCATAAAACGATTACACTAGATCAGTGTACACTTTTGGCCATGTGGGATTGCATCAACTTTTCTTTTTTTCCTATTGTTTGTCTTTCAATTTGTACTTTATTTATATATTAGGCTTCTCATATGGCAGCAGTCACATGATTTTTAAGCCTGTGTGTCTGATTAACGTCACTTAATGTTACAGTCTCAAGGTGCATCCATTTTCCTACAAACGACTCAGATTTCTTCTTGATAGCAGACGAATGCTCCATTGTGTGTAAATGCCACCTTTATTCATTCATCTGCTGATGGACACGTAGACCACTTCCAAGATTTGGCTATTATGACTTGTGCTGCTGGATACATGGGGGTGTGTGTGTGTGTGACTGTAACACGATGTCTTTAACTCTCTTGGAAGACAGCTGGAAGGGGAGTAGTCAGTTTTAGTTTTTTGAGAAATCTCCATTCTGATTTCCATAGGGGTTGTACACTCCATTCCACCCATAATGAAGAAGAGTTCCTTTATTCCTACAGCCTCTCCAGGATTTGTTACTATTTGATTTCTTGAAAATAGCCTTTTTTTTTTTTTCCCCCTGGGGTAAAATGGAAGCTGAGTTTGAAAAACAAAATGTTTTATGAAGATGCTTTTGCTCATAGTTGAGAAGTAAAAATAATTTCACTGGATGCTGTGCTCTCCCTCAGAACCTGGAGTGCAGGATAGGACGTGCACAGTGAGCAACATGCTGAGGTCCATCGATTCTAGCTGAGGAGGGTTTCAAAACCAATTTGGTAAAAAAAGCAGTGCAAAACCTTTTGGAAAAAATCTGCAAATGCCATTCTCAGACTGAGGTTGTTAGACTGTATGGACTCAAATCTGAGAATGTTTGGAGAATGCTGTTATCTTAAAAAATGAGACAAAGTGGTTTTAGATTTTTAAAAATAATGATGTTGGGGTATGGCCTCGTGGCAGACTGCTTGCCTTGTGTGTGTGAGGCCCTGGGCTGATTCCAGCACCACTAGATAGCACTGCTGTTGGACCACTACTGTTGCTGCTGCTGCTACTATTGCTACTACTATCAACCAGGAAAGGTGAACTTCAGCTTATTGAGTATATAGTGATTAATTTCTAATATGCAACATGAATGGATGACACAAAAGCCCAAGTATGGACTTCATTGAGTAGCTTAAAACTATTTGGAAGATGGGGCCGGGGAGATAGCTCAGTAGAATAAACGCTTGGCTGGCAAGCGCAAGAGCCTGAGTTCAATCCCTGGTTCCACAAGAAAAGAAAAAAAAAGAAAGCTATTTGGAAGAGAAGACATAAACACAAGACAAATAAAAATGACAGACTAGTATTCAAATAACTACCTCACATATAAAGATTTATAGGGCACCCTCGTGGGGAGATGAAGTGTCATCCATTATAGTCATAACAAAGCCTCGATTTCTATCACGACTGACTCCCTCAACCTACTGTATGTTTCCAGTGTTCCTTTCATGCGAACAAAAATTATAATTTCAAAGACTGTATGGCATTGGAAGCCATTTAGATTACTTTTTGTGAAATTGAAAGGAGTATTTGCAAAATGTTAAGAGTTTGAATAAAGTACAAGTGAATCAAAATATTTGCTTGCATATGGCCCCCTCATGAGTCATGGAAAGTTGTATCTGATTTATAAACAGTAAAACTTGCACACCAGGTTCAAGAGCACCACTCTGGTGGTTCTGATGCATGTTACATGCTAAGAGGATAGTGGGTTACTCCTTATAAATGATAATGCAAAAGATAGTGAATGCAAGCTACGTGGTTGCCAGTTGGCTTCCACAATTGCAAGATAACATTTAGCTGTTATGCTAATGCTAATCAAGCAAGGTTATTAACAGACTCCGTATTCTCTGTGAGTAGAGGGACAGAGGGGAATCAAAGGATTGCAAGGAATGCATTGAGTAACGCACAGCTCTTGTATGTGCAGACATTGTGCCCAGCAGGCACTGGAGCCTGCATATGATCGGGCTGTTTGCATAGTGAAAAATCAAACAGCCACCCCTTCGCCTGCCTCTGTGCCTCCCCCCCCCCCATTGACATGCATAGCTGGCCTGGTAGGTGTAAAAATAGCCTGGCAGGGCCTGAGCTGGAAATGGTCACCGAATGCGAATGCAGCCCACAGTTGCTGGGGTTTTGAGTTTTCTCTGACACCAGCCAGCCAGCAGATGGGGAGGCCTGGTGAGGGGCGTGAGAGCGCAGAGCCTGGGAGCTCAGGTGCCTCTGGATGAGTTGTCCACGTTAGCGTCCCCTCAGGAGCCCTGGACAGAGCGCTGAGGACAAGCCTGGGCCCCCAGGCTGTGGCACTTGCCAGCTGTGATGGGAAACACAGCTCTCTGCACCTCCTGCCACTCAGAAAAGAGCGTCAGAGCCCAGGGACACATGCAGGAGCTGGACAAAACTCCAGAGGACTACGGTGGTGATGGCGAGGACACCAGAGAACCAGGGGCTCCGGTGAGTTGCAGGCCACACACAGGAGAAAGGGAGGATGTTGGCCTTGGAGTCACTGTGGCTCTCATTGGTCAGATTGCCGGCAGAACTGGGGGCTGAGCCATCTGACCGTGCTGACCCGGGCTGTGTCTTCCTGCAGCTTACATGGTGCCTCACTCGCCTGTCTGTAGAGTGACGTTTGCAGATGAGTAATGTTGCTGGCTCTTTAATTGGGTGTTTTTACCAAAGCTGAGCATACACGGTGTCATTTATAGAGAGGCTGTCTGTAGTAGTGCAGCAGTTCACATCTAGGTTGTGAAGTTCTTTTCCTTACTTGTATTTTCATGGAGAATCCACTTTCATCAGACCACAGAGCACCTTTAAGTCCCAGTTCCTGCTCTTTATAAAGGCATTTTACTCTAACATCTACCTGACTGCACTGAGGCCTTTAAATACCGTCTTGATTATGATTAAAAATAGTTTGTGAAAAGCCTTAAAAGTTGAGTAATCAAGTATTTAAGCTGGGGGCTGGGAAGACAGCTCAGTGGAATAAGTACTTGCCTGGCAAGTGCAAGGTCCTGAGTTTGATCCCTGATACCACACACACATAAAAAAGCTTTTAAGTTGACTTAGATTTTAATAATTCACTGGTACTATGTGTTCCTTAAAATGAGTGCAAAGGCTTATTATGTTTTTTAAAAAAACATTTTGATTTGATTAGGACTCTCTGATAGTTTAATTTTTATACTTGCTAGAGAGATAAAGTTTATCTTTTATTGCTCAGATCCAGGAACTTGACCTTGTTGCAAGTTATTTATTTCAGACTGAGACCATGGTGGTAGGACAGGTGGGTGTGCAGGGAAAGGAAAGCGAGAGCAGAGCACTGGTTCTGTGTTTTTCTGGGGTTTCTAGGAGTGGCAAGAGTTTGTGACAATTGGAAGGTGGCCTGCTGTTCTCTTGGACTTCGATTGGGGTGACTTTCACCACTTAAGTTGTCAGGCTGCATTGAAACTGAAACTCACTCCAGCAGTACAAACTACATGCAGAGAAGTGTGTGCTCTGGCAAGGGGGAGGAGGAGGAGGAGGAGGAGGCACTGGGGTGAAAAAGCGGCCAGGACTTCCAGGATGCAACAGAGGAAGCGGAAATGCGGAAGGGAAGCAGTCACTCTGGGAAGAGGAGCCTCCTGCCTTAGCAACCATGTCTGTCTCTTCCTGGTTCATAGTTTAATTTACCCACACCCATCAGGAAGTCCTCTGAGAATTTCTCGCCAGAGAATTTCTCTAGGGCCCTAAACTGAGGGGACAAAGAGTGGAAAGAGCAGTGTGCTTATCCGCTGCTGCTACAGTGTATGAACCCCACCTGTTACTACAGTATGACATGCACCTGGGTGCTTACCTGTAAATATATTCTCTAGTAACTGATTTCCTTGCTTAAAAGGAAGTTTCTGTGTTCATGATTGTTTTAGTAGGTTAGGATTTAAGCAGTTCTTTAAAATGTTAGTAATCCCTCTAGTGTTTTAAGTTGCACAAGTGTACTCCATTTCTTTTACCTTTGAAAAATTATTTAGAAAAATGTAATAGGTGGTAAGACATGGGAATAGCTATAAGAATTAAATATTAAAGTATGTCTTTAGGGCTGGCAAGATAGCTCAGTAGACTAAAGCATCTGCTTGGGCAAGCTTAGGCAAGCGCAGGGACCACGGTTTGATCCCTGGCACCACATGCTGTGCCAGCCCCGCTCTGCCCAGAGTTTCTCCATTTTGGGATATGGGAGAAGAGGTTAGCGTTTAAGTTAGTACTGGTGGTGACTTAGGCAAAGTGAGTGCTTTTTGTATGGCTTAAGTTTGCCAAATTTAAGAAAATCAGTCACTGCGTGACATGGTGCACTCCTATAATCCCAGCACTTGAGAAGTGGAGGCAGGAGGATCCTCACAAGTTCATAGACCAGCCTGGGATACAAAGTGAGCTCAGTACTAATCTGAACGGTATATTGAGATCTTGTCTTAAAAAGCCCTACCCCTCCCCAAATGAATCATCTGTACTTTTACATAGTGCTGCTAGATGTGGAGTTCCTCAATCTTAAGCCATCCAGATTGTGCTTAACTGGTACTTTCAAGTATTCACAGCAGTGAAAATTAATAATCAGTAACTGTTAAGAACTCTGTAACTTTTAATTATGATTTTTAGAGGGAAAAAGCAAACAGATTTTAGACTCTCCATTTCAAAAAAATTTTTAAATTCATTTTAATGAGAAAAAGATAACAAAGTAATGAAACAGTTTCAAAACAGGTTAGTAGGACAGTTACAATAATTAATACATTACATATTTTTGTCTTCATAGTAGTTGAAAAAAAACCCAACTATATAAGACATTTTTTTTCTTTTTGGTATTTTTTAAGTATGGGTCTAAAGGGTCTACAGGGTCTCACTACGTAGATCGGACTCAGTGATCCGTCTGTGCTCAGCCAAGAGCTGGGAGTATAGGCGCGCACCACCACACCCAGTCTCAATCGCTGTCTCAGTGAGCCCCAGCCCCAGGGGCCAAACCCAGCCGCTGCATCTGCCTCAGCAGGCGCTTTAATCCGCTGAACTGTCTGGCCAGCTGGACTCCTTTTTGCTTCTGGTAATAAACATAGAATTGGCTTATAAAGCTTTTATTGTTGAACCAAAAGTTTCAAGTAAATAAAATTTTATTCAATAAACTAATGAAAAATATAAATTTAAGATAAAAG